AAAAACAAAAAACAAAAACCCAAACACCCAGTCTGTTTGAGCTCTGTCGCCAATAGCCTAATCAACCTTTTATTAGTAAAAAGGAATCTGAAAAATACTCAGATGCCCTCTGATTTTTGTTTCCTATTTTTCTTCTTTCAACATTTCTCCACGCACACAAAAAGAGTCACAAGACAAATGTGGACTTGGAAATACTCTTAAGTAGTCAAGTTTATTAAAATCGGATCCAAATGACATTTATTAAAAATACAATAGGGACGCCTGGGTGGCTCAGCCGTTGAGGGTCTGCCTTCGGCTCAGGTTGGGACCCTGGGGTCCGGGATCGAGTCCTGCCTCCAGCTCCTTGCAGGGAGCCTGCTTCCCCCTCTGCCTGCATCCCTGCGTCTCTCTATGTGTCTCTCATGAATAAATAAATAAAATCTTCAAAAAAATAAGAAATAAAAATAAAATAAACCTCCCTATAATAATTGTGAAGCACACCCACTATTTTGATCATCGTTAGCGTTTGAACCAGAACGGAGTACACTGCATCACTGCCCGTGCACTTCCACACCAGACGTAAGGACAACTGTGACAATGACATAGCTTTGAAATAACATCGTTAGACCCTGTGAACATCCTGGCAGCTCTTAACAACTCAATCACCTTGAGCTGTTCCCTTCCGAAAGTGAACAAAAATCATATTCTTTCCAATTTGCCCAGCAGGAATTTTTTCTTAACCTGAACCATGTCGAAGTGTGACTTAGATTGTGCCAAGGTGGTCCCCAGGGGAGAGGGACAGCAATGTCTCTGAGGAGCTCTGCTCCATCCAAGAACACTTACCAAAGGGCGACTCGCCTTCTCCTGCCCTCTATCTCCCTGCTACTCACTACTGCTCGCCTGTACCCAGAGAGATGCTGAGCACCCCTCTCCTGGCGACGCCTTCCCTGCGTTCTGTGTTCCAGGCAGGGTTGTCCTGGGATGGAACCTCATTAAAGGGCAAACCTTAGGTGTGGCTGTCACTTCTCAGAATGAATTATAAATTTCAACACCTCGCACATCCCTTAAACTTTCCGAAGAATTTTGCCCATCTTAGAAGAAAGTAGCACTTTAAAAAGCAACCTCTATTATTTGATTATCGGTCAGGCTCTGGCCAGTTTGAACAGCACGCTTTGACAAAGACAACTTTTTCCCCACTTAGCTGACCTTCCTCAAGAGGCAGTCTCTCAAGTGCCAACAGAGGGCTCTGAGTGGTGGGCAGGCTTCACAGAGGCATGGTCTGTCTGTGATGATGGAGAGGTGGATGGGGCTACATCCCAAGCACACATTTCCCCTCACACACTGGCTGGGGCTTTGGGTCCCCACTGTCTGCCATTTCAAAGATTTGAGCTTCTTGACCCAAAGCAAGGGTGGCCAGCAGGGTTGGAGGAACGGGTGGGAGAAGCTCTAGGTTTCTATACAGGGGAAAGGAAGCCTGACACATCTCCTGGGGGTAAAAGGAGTCACTAGCACACTCACACAAGCCCCTTTAGGCAAAGACAAGAGTGGTTGTTATGGGGGACACAAGTAGCTCTCCAAGTATGTCCTGAATGTGGGAGGCCACAGCAGCTGCCTCCCCTTGAGACAGCCCACGGGGCCCCTGCCAGGAGCTATAATGACTCGCTGGCCCTTGCCAGCTGTCACACTTTGCATGCCACTGGAGCTCCGGTCCAGCAGAAGGGGCCATCCAAGTCACCAGTTTCAACAAGCGCCAAATCCTGTGCCCATGCTGGGCCCGTACGGCCACCCAGAACCCTCTTGGAGGGCTCCAAGGAGAACACTTCAATGCACACTGACCAGCATGTCAGCCTGACTGTGTCCAGGGCCAGGGGAATGGGGTTCTCCTTCCCAAGACAGAAATGTGGTGAGATCAAGAGCTAAAGGGAACCTTTAGGGACACCCCTAGTTAAGAGGGGCCCTTCGAGGGGGGAGAGCAGTATGTGTCTTTCCATCTTATTGATTCCTGGGGCACCTCCCTCCCACCGTGGGTGGGAAATGTATGGGGGTGCCCTTTGGCCACTCTATCCCAGGCATTAGCTTCTGTCTTTCTCACTCACTTCCTCTTCCTGCTGGCAGGGTAAGGCCCCAGGGCCCCTGCCTAGCATGGGGACACAAGAGGAATGCCCCAATGTGGTACCCCAGCTGTAGGACAGAAGGGGCCTCAGGGTGAAGGTTGGCACTACCAGCGTGGGCTGGTGCAGGGTTTGCCGAGGTGGGACCCCCAGAGCCCTCTCTTCTGGGACTTGGCTGGAACCCATCAACACATTGCTACTGGCTTGGCCTAGGCTGGTCCCTCCATCCCTTCCCCCAGCCGCCAATCCTCCCCATCATGGCCTCCTCTTGGCTTGCTGGAAGCCTGGTCCAGCTGGAGGGACTTCTAGAAGCCAGCCACTGATGGTACAGCTCTGCCTCTCCTGTCTGACGGCACACCGTCAACTCCAGAAACCCACTACTCTCCAGGAGCCTCAGTTACATCATCTACAGCAGGGATTTTTAAAAACACCCAGCTCACAGGGTTCTAGTAAAAACCAGATGTCTGTAAAAATATTTTGAAAAGCAGAACTGTTTTTAAATGAGCAGCGAGCTACTTACCTACTTGGAACTTCTGAGGTCGATTTGCTTGGTCTCTTCTCTCTCCTTCCTGTCCAGTACATTTCTGCTTGGAGACTTAGCTCCTGCCCACCTAGGCTTCATCTCTCTTCCTAAGCGACCTCTCCAACACTTCGTCAAGTCAAGGCCTCCTGGGGCCCAGGGGGTCCTACCTGGTTCCTCCCCTCTCTGTGTAACCGACAGGAAACTCCTGGATTACAGCAAATTGGGAGTTTGAACATCTCAACGGGTGAGCCTGTGAGCTAGAGATTTCAGACCGATTCCTAGACATCCCCCGGACACACAGTAGGGGCAAAGCTCCATTCTGAACTTTGGAAGGATACAGGAGTGAATGGGTGGGCCCCGCCCTCAAAACAATCACGTCCAAATGCGGAGATGATCTCCGCATAACACAATTGAGGCCACAGGGGCATGCTCTCAATGGTTTGTCAAACATGATGGGGGTGGGAGAGAGAAATGAGATTTCATCGAGGCTTCAAGAAGAAAATAATATTGGAATTGAACAGAGGGACGGGCAGGATGTCACAGGTCAGAAGCAGAGATCAGAATGAGCCTATGGAGCCAATGTTGGTGGAAGAAAACGAGAACCAAGCAGCCTTGAAATCTGCAAGTCCAGGTTTCTAGAGCTGAGATCAGTTTCCATGGCGAACAAACGTCTCTCTTCTTATCCCAAGGAGGACCAAGATGGAAAAGCTCATTTTCTTTCTGTGACCCTTGATATTACGCTGTCCAATAGGACTTTCTGTGATGAAGGTTATATTCTCTGTGCTGTCCAATAGATGGCTTCTAGCCACCTGGAACTCCTAAATGCTCAAACAATGCTAGTGCAACTTGGGAACTAAATTCCAACTTAATTTTATTTTAATTAATTAGATTTTTATTAGCCACAGGTGGACTAGTGGGTGGTAGAGGTTTAGATGCCAATGCCCTCTTCCGCGTTCCCCTTTGCCATGCTATGATGACAGGCTGCAGTACTAGGCCCAGGCCCTGGGGTAGAAAACTTCTATAGCCTCCACATGATGTCATTTGGGGAAGAGGAAATACAGTCCCACCCTCAACAGATACGAGCCAGTGGGTGGATTTTTGTTTGTTTGCTTGTTTCTAATAAGCGGCCAGTTTCTATGTGTTTTTTGCTTAAACCAGAGTAGAGTCACTGTTAGAATGGATACATGTCCCTTTTGGGGAGGAAAGGTACCTAGGACCCCCAAAGCTTCTAAGTCCCTTAAAGACCTTTCAACCAGTGGGAGGGGAGACAGTGACCAGGTGTAACCATTCTTTTTTTTTTTTTAAGATTTTATTTATTCATGAGAGACACAAAGAGAGAGAGGCAGAGACACAGGCAGAGGGAGGAGCAGGCTCCATGCAGCAGGGAGCCCGACGTGGGACTCGATTCCGGGACCCAGGATCATGCCCTGGGTCAAAGGCAGGCGCTAAACCCCTGAGCCACCCCAGGGATCTCCCTGGTGTAACCATTCTAATACGACTAGCCCTTGAGCCTAGAAATTCAGTCCTGAAAACCTGGCAAGAAATCACATATTTAAAACAAACACAAACACAAAAACAAACAAACAAAAAAAGACAAAACACGTTGCACCCATTGCAGCACTGCCATAGTCATTGCAGCATTATTCACAAAAGAACTCAAGAGGTGGAATCAACCCAAGTGTCCATCTCTGGAGAAATGGGCAAACAAGATAGGGTGAACACGCACCACGGAGTGCCACTCAGCCTGTGACAAGGGCCACAACATGGATGAACCTTGAGGCCACTGTACTGACTCAGCCAGTCACTAAAAGACGAATCAATGCCCTATGATCCCACTGGAAGGAGGTAGGTAGAGTAGTCAAATGCGTGGACAGAAGAAGGGCGGTGGCCCAGCGCTGCTCAGGGCCGGGCTGGGATCCCCGGTGCGCACGGGGTTCGCATCCTGCACGGCGAGGGGTTCTGTGATTGGCTGCACGAGCACGGCGGGCACTTAGCACTAACTGCGGGCATTAAGACGGTTAAGACGGGCAATGCCATGTTCCTTGCGCTGGACTACAGTCTAAAATACGCACACGTGTGCGAAAGGTAGAGGCAGAGAGGAGCAGGCAGCGGCAGCCGAGCCAGCAGTCCTCCAGGAACAACCCCGTTTCCCCCCAGAGGCGCCGTCGCCCCCCCTCCGGGCCGGGCCGGTCCTGTGACCCGCACAATAACCTTCTTGAGCGGTGCCAGCGGCACCTCCGCGCCGGCCCGAGGCGGGGCGGCCAATGAGCGCGCGCCTGGCCCCGGCCTCGCGCCCCCATTGGCTGCGCCCGGCGGCCCGCGGCCCCGCAGGTTCCCAGGCCGGGTTTAAAGGGGTCGGCCGCGCGCCGCTGCCCGGCCATCGGCTCCCCGCGCGCAGGTCCGCGGGGAGGGGCGGCCGCCGAAGGGCCCACCCCGGGGCGTTCCTGAAGGGCGCCCTCGGCCGCCCCCGCCGCCCCCCAGATGTACTATGCGCTTTCCCAGGCGCGCGTGAACGCGGCCCCCGCGACCATGCTGCGGCCACAGCGGCCCGGAGACTTGCAGCTCGGGGCCTCCCTGTACGAGCTGGTGGGCTACCGGCAGCCGCCCGCCTCCGCCCCCGCCTCCGCCTCCGCCTCCGCCTCCGCCTCCTCCTCCTCCTCCTCCACCGCGGCCCCCCTCCTCCCCAAGGCGGCGCGCGAGAAGCCGGAGGCGCCCGGCGAGCCCCCGGGCACGGGAGCGGGGCCCGGCGCGCACGCGGGCGGCGGCTCCCGGGCGGACCCCAAGGAGGAGCAGCAACAGCAGCTGCGGCGCAAGATCAACAGCCGCGAGCGGAAGCGCATGCAGGACCTGAACCTGGCCATGGACGCGCTGCGCGAGGTCATCCTGCCCTACTCGGCGGCGCACTGCCAGGGCGCGCCCGGCCGCAAGCTCTCCAAGATCGCCACGCTGCTGCTCGCCCGCAACTACATCCTGCTGCTGGGCAGCTCGCTGCAGGAGCTGCGCCGCGCGCTGGGCGAGGGCGCCGGGCCCGCCGCGCCGCGCCTGCTGCTGGCCGGCCTGCCCCTGCTGGCCGCCGCGCCCGGCTCCGTGCTGCTGGCGCCCGGCGCCGTGGGGCCCCCCGACGCGCTGCGCCCCGCCAAGTACCTGTCGCTGGCGCTCGACGAGCCGCCGTGCGGCCAGTTCGCGCTCCCCGGCGGCGGCGCGGGCGGCGGCGCGGGCGGCCCGGGGCTGTGCACCTGCGCGGTCTGCAAGTTCCCGCACCTGGTCCCCGCCGGCCTGGGCCTGGCCGCCGTGCAGGCGCAGTTTTCCAAGTGAGGGGCCCCGCGCGGGCCCGGGGCGCGACCTAGGCCCGGCCTCCCGCCGCCCCGCTGCTCCGCGCCCTCCCCACCCCACTCCCCGCGCCTGGCCTTCGCGGACGAGCACGGGGGCGGGGAGGGGGGGCCGGGATGCACTTCCAACCTTCTCGCCCAGAGGAAGGGACCGCGGGGCGCCCCCTCTCCCGCCCCCACCCCGGGGAGATCAGAGTGCTGCGAGCGGACGTTCGACGGAGCGTCGAGGCCGATGCGGGTTCTGAGTCGTTTCCGGCTGCTACGCGCGGCAAGTGCGCGCCGCCAACCCCGCTCTTGCCCGGCTGCGGTCTCTCCCGGGTCCCTGGAGTCGTGCGCTTCGCGGGGGTGGTGTGCGTTGCGGGGCACCGCGCCGTGGCTTTGGCTTGCTTGCTCTGGGTGCGGCGGGAGGCCGGTCCCAGCGCCACGGCTCAAAGAGGCGACACCTGCCAACGCAGGGGACCAAGTGGCTGCTCTCCGAGGGATGGGGAAGGGTGCTTTTCCTTCTCCCCAGCCGGGGAGGTCACAGGCACCCTTGTTCCCACCAGCCAAGCCCTGTCAAAGGAGGCTGCGCGACCTCAGGAAGCAGAGAAAGACCAATTAGTCGGTGCAGATGGTCCGAGGCTTAGCAGACGGACGGACCCTCAGCGGCGGCGGCGGGACGGTGCGCATCGCGGTGCCGCGGGAGGAGGCGCGGGCGTGGATAACTCCAGGGTCCCTGGGTGGCCGGGCTGGGCGGTGGGGCCGCTCTTCCACCCTGGCTGCGAGAGTGCAATTTTTGAGAGTCGCGTAACCAGTAGATTATCTTTGTTTCGTGGCGGAGATTATTCGCTTTTAAATCCTGAGGTCTTAAGAAGACAGTTTTAGGACTTGAGATTCACCGTTTTGTTTGTCCTTCCCCGGAGGTAGCGTAGCCAACCTTGGAGCTCGCTTAAAAACAGAAACCCACCCCCATCCCCCCCTTTGACGCAGCTGGTGTTCTTGGTTTACTAAGATAGGTAACAGCGGCACTTCGCAGTCGCCTCCGGTCTGGTCGGAAAAGCACGATCGCTAATTAACTTTCTCATTTAAAAGGCGCACAGGAGGACCCGAGCCCCAAAACTCCCTCCGGCGGCTCGCGGGTCCCCGCTGCGGTGGCGCTTTCTGCGCTGTCCCTTTGCGCCAGGGGTCTTGGACCTGCGCTCTCCGCAGCTTGACATTTGGAGAACTGCATAGATGACCGGTCTTGATTCGTTACAGACGTTAACAAATTACTTCACCCAAGATTATTTTATGATCTTTCAGCAGCTTGCTTTGAAGTCTCTGTTTAAGGTTTTTGGTTGTTGGTAGTAGCCGAATTTAACTGGCTTTTTATTTTATCTCTAACTTCGTTTCGTTGCTCGGTGAAGAATCAACAAAATAAAACATTTAAAGACCTAACGTTTTCCTCTGATTTGTTTGTTAATAAAAAATGCCCTGGTGGGGCTCCTGGGTGGCTCAGCCCCATGGAGCCTCCGGCTCTTGATCTCTGCTGAGGTCTTGATCTCAGGGTCCTGAGTTCAAGCCTCAGGCCGAGGCTCGTAGCTGAGCACGGAGCCTACATAAAATTAAAAATTTTAAAAACGTCCTGGTGCGCTGGTGGATTCAGATGCTCGGGATGTTTGGTAGTTAAATACGACTAGGGTTCAAAGTTTTTTAACCTGGTTTCCTGATTTGTAAAATGATCTAATGAATTTGTAAAATGATGTGATCAACTGCATGTCAAGTTCAGGCACCAGGTAGAAATATAAGGACCGCCGGTGAGTGAGTGGATGGCAACTTCAGGAATTAGCTCTTAGCCAAGATGGATCTCTTGATTACTTTCTTCTCTAAAAATGAGTTTAAAAATACATTGATCATAAAATTATTTGGTATGTCAACGTCCTTCTCGAAAATCTACTTTTTCCCTCTTAGTGGACAGAAGGTGAAATAGTGTCATACTGCCATGAGCTTTCTCCCGTTCTTTACATAAGGTTGGAGCCGTCTCCGAGGAACTTATGACCTTGGACATCATTCTGAGAGGTGAAGAAAGCTCCTCTGTGTGACTGGCAATATTATAAAGAATTTGAAATGTTTAACTCACAGGCAATATGTAAATATTTTGTAGTTATTAATGAAATCCAACCACTGTTTAAGGGCAGGAGTTAATGGAGGAGAAAGTGTCCCCTTTAGCCTGCAGAAAATGAAAGAAAACCTGAGATGACTTCATTCTATCCACATTGGTTTATCTGAGGTATGTATGCACTTAGGGATGGTGAGCATTCATGTTGGGAACATGTTGCGGGAGGTGGGGGGGTGGGGGACAGAATGCTAGAAGGAGGGAATTGCCTCCCCCCCGCTACGCTGGTTAAGTGTCTATTTCCTCAAGGAGGAGGAGGGAGAGGGTGTGAGGGAAAGAAGCTCTATGCACCAACCCATCTCAGGAAGGAGCGTCTCATTCTTCCCAGACTCCACCATCAGAAAAGTCACAGGCTTTTGTAATAAGTAAATTTGAATCGGGATTTCCTGTTTCTTTAATGCCCATTCTTGCTTCCCTTGCATCTTGACAAGGAACCCAAAGTAAAAATCAACAACTAATCAAGATCAAATCAGGTCCTCCCTGAAAAATAATTATTTCCAAGAGACTAGAAATAAATAGTGCTTCCCTCAGCCACAACTCCATCACCTGAGTGCCACCATCATCCCAAAAGACAAAAGGAACGTACAGGGCAGAGAAGGGGTGGGTGGTCTCCCTCCCTCCTGTCTCTACTTATAAATTGGAGCAGATACCCATGGCTTACAGAAAAGGTAATAGTGTATGTGATTTTTTCTTTAACTCAACTAGAAAGTCATGCTTTCCAGAACTGCTAGAGATTATGAATGAATTTTTTAAGATTTTATTTATTTATGACAGAGAGAGAGAGAGAGAGAGAGAGAAGCAGGCTCCATGCAGGGAGCCCGAAGTGGGGACTCGATCCCGGGTCACCAGAATCACACCCCGGGGCTGAAGAGGGCGCTAAACCGCTGGCTACCGGGGCTGCCCAATTATGAATGAATTTAACAAGAATCTGTAGGGCTGTGTTGAGTCTCATCGAAATATTTAAGCTATCTGTCTGCATGTAGCCTCTGTTGGCCATTGGACTAAACAAGGCTAGCAGACTGGCTCCTTATAAGATAAAAAAAAAAAATAGCATCAGTGGGTACTCAAGAGTCCTGTAGGATGCGACCACGAAAAGGTAATTCTATCTGGTGTCGATAACAAAAGTTAGACCTCCCGACACAGGCCTATGGGCAGAGCCGTGCACATGGCAGGTGCAGTGTTTAAGCCCAGACACGTACGTGGTAGAGCGTGGAGCTTTTCTTTCCAATCTGCAGTGCTATGTCACATGTACAGAGGAGCTAGCTGATGGGCCCACCTCATTTGATTTTAGCTAGAGCTAGCTTTTTGCAGAAAAAAATTTACCCTGGTCTTTGAAGGGATTGGGGAAGAAGAGAAGGAATAAGTCGGACCCCTTGAGAAAAGCACGTCAAGCCTCAGGAGCAAGATGAGAAGGAACATGTGACTCGCTGCCCAAAAAAAAAAAAAAAAAAAAAAAACGATCCCTGCACCCAGCCACCCACCGATGCGCAATCCCGGTGATTAGAGCGAATGGAACCTAAGGGGTAAATACAGGCCCTGAGAAAGTTGCTAGACGTTCGGGAGGCCAGGTGAGCAATCAGTAAACAGCAGATTAAAGGCACCATGGGATTTGCCTAGCTCGTAGTGATGGTCTATTTACAGCTATTCTCCTCTAAGGGAAACTGATTACACCAGGTATGAAAATATAACCTTGTGAAATATATAACTTCGAAGGTAAGTGTCCCCATCAAGGAAGAGGCCCACTCCAAGCTTGGAAAGTATTTCGATTTCCCAAAGGTCAGATTATTAACAATAGCGCTTGCATGCACCCCTCTGGTTCAGGGTCACTGGGCTAGTCTATGTGGACTAGTATGCAGGAGAGGCTGGACCCCGGTTAATGGCCAATCCTAGAGCCTCAGCCTGCTAGCCAGACCTCCTGGAGCCTGAGGAAGGCAGGCCACAAAGAAAACCAGCAAGAGCAAAGGCTCTTCTCTTGGTCAGGTGATCACTAGGACGTGCCCTTAAATCGATGCCTTTTCTCACCACGGCTTAGAGCACCTCTATGGGGAAAGTGCATCTCCTCCAGAAGGCGTTGTCCTGCTCATGGCTACCCCTTCCATTTCTGCACACTCAATAAATATTCCATAAAAAGATGACCACCTCGACTTCATAAAGCAAAAGTTTGGGAAGCGTCATGCTTTTCTAAAACACACATTCACTTTTTTTCACGCAGCTTTTAGTTGTAAGGAAAAAAAGTTTTTTTTTCAAGCAAGTCCAGCTTATCCTACCACATTTAAGATGAGAGCAGGAAATAGTAAGATATTCCCCAATCCACACACAGACTAGCCTCATTCTTTATGGAGATGCCGCAAATGACTTCTTCAAACACTCCAAACGCTTCCCCAAACCATTCTGTCCTTTTTTTAAATTTTATTCATTTATTCATGAGAGACACAGAGAGAGGCAGAGACACAGGCAGAGGGAGAAGCAGGCTCTCTGCAGGGACCCTGAATCAGGACTTTATCTTGAGACCCTGGGATCATGCCCTGAGCCAAAGGCAGATGCTTAACCCCTGAGCCACCCAGATGCCCCTCCATTCTCTCCTTTTTTAGTAAACCTAGCATAAAAGCTGAAATGCCTGATCAGAAATTAAGCCAAATTCTTACTGCTCATAGGGATTAGCTGCTCCATCAGAGAACTTTCCCCTTCGCATCTGGCTAATAGAGAACGCCCAGAGGTCAGGCTGTGAGCCCACGACCGTCAGGTCAATAGTCCCCGTCCTTAAATACTACAGGCTGCTTGATGCTCAGGGAGGGACATTACCTGGATTGAAAGCGAAAGGAGTTCATTTCTCCTTCACTCAGCCTTTGTCT